TGCCTTGAGATGACATGTGTTGTGAATTGGTGCTATATAAATAAACTGAATTGAATCAACAATTTAACTGAATATTTAATTAATGTTTAAGCATAAATACAGAGACATGTAGATGTCATAAGAGGAGCAAGAAGCTATAAAGGTTTGGGTTTTTTAACTGTTTGAAACATGTTTCATAGTCATGTGATGAAGTCTGTTCTAACAACATAAGGGAATTACCATTGTTACACAGCTGAAACTAAATGACTTGATTATATAAAGATTAGTTTTATGTTTGATGTCAACAAAAGCAGCATGGACCTGAGCTATGCTAAATAATACTGCTTCAAAATAGGTTTTTTTCCAAGAGTCCCACTGTTCAAACATTAAAATACTTTAATGAGATAAAAATTATGGATTTTCATTTTAATCACCTACATTTTTTTACCCACTGTCTGCACCATGTCAAACAGACTAAATCATTTTTTTTTCACTGTAGCATCCTGTCTCCCATGAGCAATATTCTCAGATCAAATTACTCCCTAAATCCGATAAACCTTTACTGGGGCGGGACATACAGTAACACAGCACTGCAGCAGGAATCAATAAAATTACAGTTCAGTTTTACAGAAAGACAATAATGCTCCCGTCTCATCAGGGACAAACTGTATGTGTGTGCTGCACTGTGAAGTCATCTGTTGACATTTTGATGCCCAAAATAGCAGGTGTTGATTAAGAAAAGTCGAGGTTTCAGCTTTTCTGTATGCTTTTTGACTTGAGCCTTACTCCTTAGATATTTATTAGAAACAACAGTGAGCTTTGACCAGGTAAATGTCCAGGTTGGGTTGGATTGAATCTTTAAATCTAAAGTGACGACCAGCTCCTAAATAATGTTAATAAAAATCTGCACATGCTCTTTGTTTTGTTGCTTGCTTCTCACTTCTCCTCCCACTCACTGCCCACTGAGCTAGCACTGACTGAGCCTCAGGGTGTCCTGCACCTTCATCAGGCTTCTCTCTGTCCTTGTTTATTGCTTCCTCTGAAAACACAAGCATCTCACCTCACATCTTTCGGTACTCTAGCCTTCTCAAAGGAGAACTTTGGTAGACTGCTCGACGTGGGTTCTGCCGACACTCCGGCTTTAGCTCCTTTTCTTCTGTTCATGGTCTCCTTGATGCGGACACTCAGATTGGGGCTGCTCTTTCCACTGGCTTTGACAGAAGGTGGCCTTGAAGGCAGACCAGTCGGGGCCCCGCTCTTCAGCACGTCCTGCAGCTTGTTAAGCTGGATGCACTTGTTCTGGAGTTCCTCGCTGAGCTCAGACAGAACCCGGGTCTGCTTGGCCAGTTGCTCCTGAAGACCTTTGATCTGTTGCTCTTTGGCACATAGTTCCTCATCCTTCCTCTTTCCTTCTCGCTCCAGTTCATCCACTCGGGCCCTCAGGGAGTCCAGCGATGATGTTTTGTGGGCGCTGCATCGCTCTTTGTGAGCTTGGCCATTGGCGGCAGAAACAGAGGTTTCAGTGGGTTTGTAACGCTTCGACTTCATCGAACCATTGCCCATCTTTGGACGTAATGGAGAGATAAAATCTGCAAAAATTATGAAAGAGAGTATTTTAAAATCAGGAAATATTTTGGTTTCATTAAATATTTTTTCTGTTGGTATCATTTACTAATAGAAATCAATCAACACAGTCTTTTTTCTTTTTTTTTGTAAGGCTGTCTCCAATACCAATACCAATTATTTTGACATCAGTCGAACCAAACTCTGATATGTGCTGCCCATATTTTTAGGCAGATTCCTGGAGCATGTATTGCTTGTCCTTCCTCAATTTACATGATAAGAATCACATATTAATAGTAAATATTACACAGATCTTCATTTAAACAAAGAAGAAGCAATCGTAAGCAAATTGAACCATACATTAACAACAGCTGAAAAATGAAGGCCATTGGCGATGCATGCACTCTACAAGATCTCAAGGCTTGGTTGCTGGAGGCACTTATGAATAAGCAAAAACATGCACGTAAATCAAAAGTTTCCGAAATGGGGCAAAAAGTAATCATCCAGCCTAATGTATTCGTCCTTCAGTAGTTAATGTTATATTACACAGAAAGAATACTTTTGGGGAACGCCTTACTACTCAACTTCCTTTAGCATTTCAAAGTCTAGTCTGACTTATCCACTCAAGAGGTTACACAAGTAGTAAGTTGGATCAAAAGATGTTCCATGAAGGTTTGCCAAGTGTGTAAGAGAACATTGGTGAACAAACAGAATCATAAAGTCCATTTGGTGTACAGCACATCTGCAGACTAACCAAGACATGGCTGTCTACATATGTCCGATTAGGGCAAGAAAACATTAGACATTTTTCCAGATTTTCTGGAGAAACTGTATTAACCTACCGCTTAGGTTGGAGACTCTATCTAAAGAAACTATCAGTTGTGCTTTCTACAGAGCTGCCTTTTATGGAAGAATGGGAGGAGTCACTGTCAAAAGAAATCCAGATAAATAAATTTTAAAAATCTGTTTGCAGTTTGCTGTAGGGATAAAAACACTTTTTGGACAAGCAGTTCACCACATTATTAATACACAATTTCCAATGTGAAATATGGCAGTGGCAGCATCATGCTAAGGGGATACTGTTCTTTAGCAGGGAAAAAAGCATGAATTAATAAGATCAAAACAAAGCAATAATGAGGAAGACCAAATATTTACAGTCAAAAGAGACTGGTGGAGGTTGATTGTGCAGGGAGACAACAGCATATTTAAATCTCAAGGGACCTGAGATTCTTTAAAAAATACGCATATGTCTCAGCCTTTGTCTTTTATTATCCGTTTAAATGCTGTTTAATCTGTGATTATAGTGTGAGGCGATGGAGGACACATGCAGACGGCGAATCCAATGTATAATTCTCAATGAAAGTGTCTTGTTCATTTATTATTCAAAAGGCAGGAAGTACTGCATTACATGGACAGGCACTCTCAGTCTGCCTAGAGAGCATCAGGGATACAGAAACATTATCGCTACACAATTATTAGAGAAAACATCTAAAGTCTGATGTCCAGCATATGACTGAGACTGGCAAACATTTCAGAGAACAATAATCTTGCTGTCTGGTCTGCCTCTGCCTACTCACACATACAGATGATTTTATTCATGACATTCCTGCTGAAATACATGGTCAGAAGAGACTATTATCCACACTTAAAGAAATAAAATACAAAATTCAATGTTAAATCTAAAAGAATTAGAACTTTCCTTACTTTGTTCTTAATAGGCTGTATTTTTAAAACTTAAATCAGAGACAAAATATTTTTGCAGAAAAAATATAAATATTATAAGATGTCGTTTAATTTTTTGCTGCTTTAAGACTGAGCGAATGAAAACGGTAATTGGTGAAGGTTAGCCAATTAAAACATCTAAAGGGCGCGTGCACCTGCAACTTCCGACGCGTCGTCATGCCTTTGATGAGACGGGCGGGGGAATGGATCGGGACCGGGAAGGATCTCGGTTCTTACCTGCTTCTCTATGGGAGCCTTCGGACAAGTCCAGCTGCGGATTAACCAACAGAACCGAGCGGTTTTGACTGAACCATCGGGACAAAACGGTCCCCTTTAACTACTGCTCGGCTGTTCTGCTGACTCTGCGCGCGCGCGCTCCTCACCAGCTGTGTGTGCCGCTTCCTCCGGCACGCGGGCACCGCAACTGACGTCACCGTCGATTTATTTACCTATTTACTAAATAACTCGTGTTATGTCAACATACTGTAAATATATATATATATATATATATATATATATATATATATATATATATATATATATATATATAATTCCCCATATTGTAGGAAGTATGTTCATATTAATTTTCTTCAGTAAAAGAAATTACCAAGTATTAAAACATTATAACAATTATATATTTGTTTTCATAAATATTTGCTCAAGTTTGTCTTTCTTGTGTCTGTCTTGTTAAATAAATTAACTTTATTTGCTAAACATGATTCAGCATTTATCTATCCATCTTTCTCCTTTCCAGTGATTCTATAAAACAGTCAGTTCATCCATCTATTTATCTATTCCTTCATGAAAACTGCTAAGCAAAACATACCACAAAGACCTGTGTCAGAAATCTAGTTTCAGTTCATAAATCCATCAATAGATTAATGACACACAACAAATATTCATAATAATATCTGCTCATTAGAAAAATAGGACACATTTAAGTGTTCAATTCAATTCAATTTATCTATATGGTGCCGAATCACAACACAGGTCATCTCAAGGCAGTTCACCAGATCATATAGTCAAATTGATTCAAAGTTCTATCTGAGGAAAACCAGTTGATTACATTGACTCAAAGGCAAGCATGCTTGTGGCGACAGTGGAGAGGAAAACTCCCTTTTAACAGGAAGAAACCTCTAGCAGAACCGGGCTCAGTATGTTAATTGTTCATATAAATTGAGACTGCTTGAGCAGCTTGTTTAGGAGAACTGGACCAATTGCCTGTTTTCAAATCCAACTGCCTTCTGATGATGCAGATCATTTGTTAACAGCAGGTGCTAGAACAATGCGAGAATTTTTAGTGGATGATCTCATATTAAATATTCAGACTGAAACTAGTTTGATTTGCTCTCAGATATGGGATTCAGTTAGAGCTGTTTTTATTTCAAGTAACTCCAGAGGTAGTTGGGCTTTTTGGTTTCTATGAAGGGATTCTAAGAAAATGTAAACATCCTCCACAGGAAGAAAGTTGGTTCATAACTCTGATTTTCATGCATCAGTCGAACTGTCATTCAAGCACCTCTTTTTCAGTTGGGTATAAAATTCAATAAAATTGATAGACAGAGAAACCAGTATAACACTCAGTGAGATAATGCATTCACACTAGTTGTGTTACCCTCTTGTTTGACTGATAGGTATTTTGATTTTCACAGATGTAAATGACTGCATGCTGTGGTCCTTCACACCAACCGGTGATTAATTGGTTTTTTTCCAGCCTGTGATGAGCTCTGTGGCCTGCAGCTGATTCCACTGACAGAAAAAAAAATGGCAAGTGGCCAACACCAATTCATTTGCACCACTGAGGACACAGAGAAACAATGATTCAGGTCACTGATGTCCAGGCTAAATCTAAAAGGAACAGAGAGGCTGACAGGAGATCAAAAGATGTTTTAAGTCATTAAACAAGAACAGAAAGAAATCATAAAAGAACCCAATAGCAACAGCGAGCGAAAACGAATATTTGTCCATCTGTATAGAAACTTGAAACAGTTTTACTTACTGGTATAAATCTGATGAAATCTTCCTGACATCTTGAGAAAATTATTTTTTTGGGGGGGAGGTTGTAAAGGCAGCACAATGTGCTACGAAAATTTGCGGTGTTTGTGTTACACCCACTTTCTCCATCCTGATACTTCAGAAGTTTCAGCAACATGTGTTGATCCATAACAGATGTTCCCAGATGTTTCCAGCTTAAACAGGAGCCTTCCAATGCCTGATGAATTAGAACAAAAGATGCACTAATCAGGATTTTATTAGTTGACTCTGATCTCTAGTTTTGTTTAGGTTGTTACCCTCCCTTATGTATTCGTGTAAACTTTGTTTACACGAATACATAATACATGCTCGCTCTCTAGTTGTCTTCTCTTTTTGAGCTGTTGTGGTGCTGAAATGCTTCTTACACTGAACAAACTGTAATAATAGATTAGAAAAGGCATAATAAATGCAACATCCAGTATTGAATTAAAGATTTTCATTTTTCTTTTAGAATTCAATCATCAAATAAGTATAACCTCTCTGACAGCATTAAGTAGATGGAAATATCTGGAAAAGCAGCACTTGATGTCAAAATAATTGACATTTTTCAATCCGGTAATCCTTTTAAAGCACTTTTCAAAGCTTTGGATCTGTTTTAAAACAGCATAGGAGCCATTTTCCACAAACAAAACATGAGGCAGTCAGGATACAGAACAAGATATTCTGAAAGTTGAAGAGAGAAAATGTCTTAGGGATGTGCATCCTCTTACATTACCAACAAAAAGGAACCATTATAGAAAAAAAGAATGGACATCATTCACACAGTCAAACACGGTGGTAGTAGTGTGGCGCTCTTAGGCTGCTTTGTTGCTTTCAGAACCTGTATGACTTGCTGTATTGCATGGATGGAATTCTGATCTTTGGCATAAAATCTTAAAGGATATTCCAATTTGTAACCTTTTGCTCAAATGTGACAAACTAATGTTTTACAAAGCAGATGAGTGATCTAAAACATAACAGAGAGTCTACTGCTAAATGAAAAAAAAGAGGTTTTGGTGGGGCCTAATCATAGTCCAAACTTTAGTGTGACTGAGATGCTTTGCTAAACTCAAAATAACAGTGCGTGAGAGAGTAGCTGTTTGTTGACGCTTTTAAAACCCTTAAAAATGCACATTTTTAATTCAGTTGTATTAAACAGGCAGGTAAATCTATTTCAAGGTTTTCAGTATTTGTTCTTTTAAACACCTGCTCATGACTAGTTATTCTTTGTCAAAATCTTCAATACATCATGTTTTTTAAATTTTGTTAATCTAAAATAATGCTATATTAATATTGCTACTGTATCATAACTTGTTGAGCTTCGTTATCCCAAGAAAATAACATGCACTTTTCTGAGTGCCTTATTTTGCTCCTTGTAATCAAATTGATAGGGAAAATAAAGACTCTAAGCTTTATTCAATAGATTTTTTATTGAAACAGTTGTTTTAAAAGTCCATCAAATGCATGCCTGAACTTAAGGCCATGAACTCTTGAGGTTTAATTGAGGTTAAATGTGATCCCTCATGGGTGCAGACACACAGACAGAAAAAAAAAATCAAGCTAATCCAAAATGTTGCTTGTGGTTTGTTTTTTTTTACTTTTTGGGAATGACCTGGATGACTGAGAATCTTCATCAACAAGTTGTTTCTATGCATGATTCATCAAGCTTGGACTATTAATGATCCTAATTAAACTTCCTGTTGCTTTGCTTAAATCAAGCCTCTTTCAATGTTAAAAAAAACATGGAGTTTGAATTTAAATTTTTGCTGTAAGGTGCGAAGACAATACATGCAATCAGTTAAACTTGGTCATTTATTTTGTATAATAATTTTTTCTTTTTCTTTCTTACTTTTTTATTAATATTGACTTATAATGTTTTTTAGCCTCATAAAGATTCAGATTGGATGAAAATGTCAAATAATACATTCGAAACGACAAACTCTGAACTATCCCTGAAGCTGCTATATGAAATGTACTTGCACCCTGTAAAACAGACACTGAAGCTTCTGCTTGTATTTGCATTTCCAAAATCCGGACACAGTGTGGAGCCAAAGAGCTGTTTTACTTTTCCGACATCTGCAACCTTTTTCATCACAAACAGCCAGCTTTTTCAGTCTCAGTCCAGATAACTAAAATTAGCTTAAAACTGTTATAATATAAGGCCTTTATTTAAAAAATAATAACTTAAAATCGTTTTAAAAATATCTACTATTTATAGACATTTCTAAAGAATTACACTTATTTTGATTTCAAGATTTTAGAATAGAAATAGCATTTTGTGAAGAGATGGTGGACACATTTTCTTCTTTGAAATGTTAATTAATGAGGATTATCATGTTTGTCGGGAAAAAATTATCTAATTTAATACATGATCTCAAATCTTCTGCTTCAAAGTTTTATTGGATTTCCTGAAATATTACCACAGTGCAGTTCAGGACAAATGTCTGTGTTATGTATATTTAGTGGGGCTGCAACTAACGATTATTTTGCAAATCAATTAATCTGTTCATTATTTTTTCAATTAATCGATATTCGATTAATAATCGGATAGCAAAAGGTTCCAAAAACAAAAGAAGATATTTTACAAAATTAAACCAGGTGAAACTAAAACTAAACTAAAACGTTTCCACTTGAGGAGTTCTGGATAGAGCACATTGACAGAATTTTTTTTAATATATATATATATAATAATAATATAACTGAACTTTATTGATCTCATATTGGAGCAGTGGGCTGCCACCGTGGGGCACCCAGGGAGCAATGTGGGGCTAAGGGTCTCGCTCAGAGAGCCAGAGTGGCAGTCTGTGGGAGTGGGGCTCAAACTCAGAATCTCAGGATTCCAAGATCTATTCCTAACCACTAGGCTGCCACTCCCTATTTTATCTTAAATGCAAAATGTTCACATATTTTTTTTTTATAAATTTTGAAATGGGTTGCTCTGTCAGCTAAGTGCATCTTTGACACTCTCTATACTCCAGTTAACGATTAATTGACTACTAAATTACATGATGATTATTTCAATAATTAATCACGATTAATCTGATTAATTTTTTCAGCCGGAATATTAGTTATAACCTAAATCTTCAGTTTATTATATACCTGAATGTGTTTAACCTCACATACATCTGACACTTGTCTGTGACACTTGTTATTTTCAGTCATGCAAAATGCATGTGTGTTTAAAAATAATACTAATTGCTTTGCTGGTTGCTTTGAGTTTATTGTTATAGTTGTTCTAGTTATCTGAGATTAATCTCAGCTAAGATCACCAGACCTCCCCTTTTCAGGCCTGTTTCATTAGTTCTCACCAGCTACTAACTTTTGGATCCACACTGAGACTTCTACCCTGGAAAAAAAATACAATTTATAATCACAACTCTCGTAGAATTTGTACAAAAATGATCTTAACCAACTAATGACCATGACCCAGTGCCCCTAGAAGTCCCAGTCCATGGTTCTCAAATGGGAAAAATTGGCTCATCTTCTTCAGGTCAGAGGAGAGTGTAGGAGTTCAGATATCTTTGGCTCCTGTTCACATTTGATGAGAGAATGAAGCAGGAGATCGACAAATAGTTTCGGTGCGTCAGCCGCTATAATGCATAGGCTGACATTTAATGTAATGATGTAATTCAAATTTTTTTTATATTTTACACTTGGTTATTTTTTTATATTAGATCTTGCAAATGAGGAGTTTTGTGTCAGCAGTTATTGATTTAAGAGGTTAAGGAATTTTGCAGCTTTCTCAATCATTCCACTCTGCATGAGTGCTGCTTATAGATCACAGCATGATGGTGCCACCACTATGCTTGGCGATAGGTTCAATGTTCTTATGTTTGAAAGCCACTGCTTGCTTCCCTCAGGTATGCTTGGAGTCATTGCAGCCAAATACTTTAATCTTTTACAATTCTAGCAAAAGTATCCTGTATCATAAATTACAACAAAATGTTTAAACACATCAATTAGAGCCGTTTGATGAGACAAAACTATTTATTAACTTTCTCGTTTTAACACAACTAAATCAATTATAAACGGTTTCTCTATTCCGTTTCAGTGGCACAAATACAAATAGATCATTAACACAGGGAGGGAGTGAGAAAGAGACACAGACACAAATAATATATAAAAAAAAAAAAAAAACAAGATTCTGTGTGAAAACCGTCAAGGCAAAGCAGACATCAGTCAAAAAACTCATTTAACTTCATCTTCTGACCTGGTGCCTTGAAAAGATAACATTATCAAGAAATTCTGAGGGCTAAGCATGATATGAATCTAGTACAAAATTAAATAACAAAATGAAAACACAACATGACAGCACACATTTATAAATAAAACAAATATTTAATACATTTTCAAACACACAAATTTTTTTCTGCACCGACCACCAGGGGGCAGCATGTAACCTCAGCAGCAGAGAGTTGCTTTCGAACAGCAATCCTCTAACAAATAAATCCACACCACCAGTCAGCCAAGATTTAAATAAGTGTTGTTTTCTACTTTAAAATGTTCTCATAAGTGTAAAACAAACAAAAAACAAAAAAGAAGCTTTTCTGAAATACAGCCAGTGCATTTTTAAACACACATCACAACCAGACTGTTTGACTTACTAATCAGAAGTTATGGAATGAGAAAAGAAGGGAAAATGAACAGCAGAAATAATGCTGTCCTATGGAGCTACAGTGTTAAGGTTTGGCTTCTCCATACAGAGAATGCTGGCATTAGGAACAGGAAGGTATGTAGCATATCTGCCATGTGAGCTGACCAGCAGCTAACACAATAATAAAAGTATTAAATCATCAGGGGTTGCAACATGCCCCTGAAACCTTTGCACAGAGAAAGATCAACCTTCTTTGTTACCTCTAAGGTCCGTAGTGTGTCTTTAACATAACGACTAAAAAGTCATACAAAGAGATGGAAAACAGCTGTCTTAAAATATACAGCATGGTGGGCAGAGGGGCTGGAGGGCAGGGTGGGGAATCACAGCTCAGTGCTGGGGAGTGGGACATTCAGAGTCCTCCACAGCTTGAGGAGAGATTGTCGTTTCCCTTCTGAGATCGGGATACTTTGCTTGGACAACAGCAGTGCTGACATGGTGCCTTCTGCCTGTTGAGTTTTCCTCCTTTCCGGGATTTCTTCAGCCTTAAACTCTGCTCAGCAAAGTGGATCTGCAGAGGAAACACAGAGAGACACATAAGTACAGAAAGGTGAGGATATGACTGGATAGATGCCCTTGGAGGCATCTACAGCAGGATGTCTTGACATATTCAAAATTTTGAGTCAGAGAAATGAGTCACAACGGTCATGTGTGGGCAGACAGATTGGACGGGCCTAGCTGTGATGAGCAGATACCATCCACCCAGAGCAGCATGTCCTGCTGGCACAGCTTATATTGGAGGGAAGTGACAGATTGGTGTTGAAGTGGAGGCAGAGCCTTTAGCAATGCAATTCATCACCAAATGTGACGTACGTGAAGGAATGAGTGGATCTCCCTGTCAGGTTTATCCCAATCCTTTGGGTAAAAACACGACCACCTATGACGCCTGACACAATCTATGACTCTATATGTCTGATTAGGCTCATGCTGAAACACAAATTGGGAAAAGAGCTTCTCCATCTTCTGCTACTTCCCCTCTTTAAATATATCTTTTCTAAGATGTTTCACATGTCATCAATTCTGCATCAAAAGAAGCCTGCAGAACATTGTAGATTCGCTATGTCCATAATGAAAACAGGATACATTGTTATTATATTTTAGGTTTAAATTGATGTTATAATAAAAGCATATGTTTCAATCTGACTATATACTAATTATTATATTTTGTATTCTACATTAGGGGTAATATTCAAGTGCATTCATTAGTTTTCTATAGTAAATTCACTACATAATCTCAAGCTTCTTTTAATTGACTACCATCAATTCTAAAACTGTATTTTTGTTTTCTGGCCACTAGAGGGCAGAGAGGCCTCACAGACGTCCTCTTCTAATAAGTGAATGAATATTAAAACTTATAGGTCCACTTTACCAAAGGGGAGCTCATTTAAAACTCTTACAGGCAATATTAGTGTTTATAATATATGTGTTAAATTCTAAAATGTATTTTGGTTTCATCTGACATCTAAGGTAAATATCTGACCTACTCATTTAAGAAGCAGATGATTTGTATTGCAGTAAGAGGTACTTTGATATTTTTGCAATAAATTTGGTTATGTTAAACCTATAATTTTTTTAGCTACAGACAAAAAGTGTAAATATATAGAACTAAGCTGTGAAATCTCAAATGCACAACTAAAAGAATAAAAACTGCATCCAAAAAAGTGAAGCACTCAGACGTGAAAATAACATTTTGTTTTCTAAACTGATCTGGAGGATTCCCATCAGCTGATTATCCTCCGCACCTGTAAAAGCACCACAGCCGGGGCGAAGCTGTGTGTGGTGTTTATCAAACAGAGTGAGAGATCAGGCTCCTGTCATGACCTACATCCCTGTGGTCATTCCTGGGGGCAGGGGATTCTGTTCGCTGTGATTGAAAGGTCTCAAATCCCTTCAGGGTGAAAGAGCGTTCAGAGCGGGAGATGAAGAGGAGGAGGGAGGGGGTCTTACACACCTAAGAGACTTCCATCTGTCCTTCTCCATGTTGTTTTCAGGACCTTCGCTTTCGTACGATGCCAGATAAAGAGCTGCGGAAAAATCAGAGAAAATTTTATTAATAAGGAGACACCATCTATGAGTCAGTTACCAAGGAAACAAGACATGACTAAGGCAGCTAAAGCCTATAATTTTATCTTAAATTTACTCTTGGAAAATCCAAGATATAAAACATCAAATTCAAGCCCAGCGAGGTTCTTTGATTTTAATGGAGAGGCCTTTTTTAATATGTGATAATCAACACTTTTATGACTAATCGTATGTTTGTGGCCTTTGGTAGACTACAAACATGATAAAAGTCGTTCCTGTAGGTGTTCTCTCATTATATCTATGCCGCCTTTGCATGATAGAACCAGTATCAGCTGGGATGGCGCCATTCAGGGCTGCACAATATTAGAAAATCATGCAACAATGATACAATTGGTAAATATGTTCATATCAGTGGAGATAAATGCACATTTTCCCTTGGGAAGATGGGATGAGAAGATGGGGCTTTTCCATTTCAACATTTTTTTTTTTCACAAACCAGAAAAAGATGGAGGAGATCATTCATACAATTTTAAAATAGCTGCTTTGATCACTTTATATCAGCTAAGTTTTACAACTTCAAGCTAAAAGTTTTTATTGTAATCAGACCTAAACTTCTTCAAGTATGGGTTAGAAACTAGGACAAGTCTTCCCTGTTTACTATGGCTAAAATTCCTCTTATTAAAAAAGTTATAGAATCGTTACTTATCTTAAACACAAGATCATAGACTAAATAATTTTTTCCCAAAGAATTATGTTGCATCATTTATTTTTAATGAAAGCAGCTGAGAACATAAGAAAGAGAGAAAAACAAACATTTCCCATAAGTCATTCAAAGATCAGCTCACCATCTTCTGTAAACACGGGAGCGGTCAGCAGGTGCTGCAGGATCTTGCGGTCTTTCTCAAATGGACACTCCACTTGCTTCCATGTCATGAATTCACTCACTTGTTTGGCAAGTTCCCAGAATTTCTGGAACAAATTCATAATAAAAATAAACATCATTCAGAAGAAATTACTATTAAAACTGCCAACACCCATTTTCTGCTTTTAATAGGCCTTGCGGTGAAAAATAACTACAATATGAAAAAAATAGCTGAAGGACAGAAAAAAGCCTGAGCAAAGTTTCCCAGAGAGGTGTGAAAGCTTAAAATAGCCAGGAGACCAAATGTGAGTGGAAACAGCATTTGGTCACTATTATATTTCATGGAAACATTTCAAGCCCTAGTTCCTAGTAATCTAATGTATTTTTTAGGGAAGTTGTGGTAAATAACAGTCACTAGTTGCCATGTGTTGTAAATACTTCAGCGCTTTGTGACATTAAAAGTCAGTGTCGAAATCCGTCGCTGGGGAAACCACCGTTGTTGTTATTTTAGCTTTTCAGGGGAAATTCAAAATTTAGCTTACTTCAAAGTTGATGAGGCCGTTCTGCAGGCGGTTGGCACATCCCTCATTGAGAAAGTAGATGTCTTTAATAAGCAGGCTGAAGAAAGGGATGACAATCTAAAGACAAAAAGAAGCAGAGGAAAGGGAATTTCATTTCACAGTTTAGATGATGAAATATAATTTTTTTGATTGTAGGTGTGAGCACTATAACGCTGCAAAAATAATCTGAAAAGAAGTCAAAATTTCTTAAAACAAGCATTTTACCCATAATTTGAGTGAGTGCATTAATTATTATTAATGGAATTAGTATTTTTACTCTTAAAATCAGATAATTAGATATAGTGCACTTTAAATGAGAAAATGCATCTTGTTTTTCTTGCTTTAAATGTAAATATCTTATTCCATAGGTAAAGTGTCTCACCTGCGTAATTAAAAACCATATATTGTAAGAACAATGTATTTACTTAGATTTACAATTTTTTCCAGCGTATTCTTATATATATGAATAGCCTAAAATATGAGTGATGCTTAAATGCATCTGCAGAAAGATGCTGACCTAAAAAAACCTCAGTCTGTCACCTCCTTCTCTTCTATCTCCCAGCCCCCAAACATCAAACATTTATGAAGGGGGACGCTTTTAGGAGAGCAGCAGCAGTTGGCCCAACGCTCCATCAAAGGCAATTTGTGTTGACTTTCCAGTGTATTACATGCTAAAAAATCATCCAATCATATGTAACATCTAAATCCACCACACCCTCCTTTGGTTTTAGATTCCCTTCATAGTCGTGCAGATTCGTCTCCTTCTCAGTCTGCCGTTCAGCTGACTTAATTTGTAAGCTTGTTTTGGAGAAAATTTAGGAGCAGCTGACTGATACGGAGCGCTGAGGTCACCAATTCAGAGCAGACTGTTCGGCAAGTGGTCAGCAGGGGTTAGATGCTGTTTACAAGGACATTTTTAGGAGAGTCAGGTGTGTTCAAGCTTCCTTGCACATCATGTAAACATGCTAGATTTTCCAGAGTCATGTGTCTGTGTTATTTGTGCTTTACATTCATTTTAAGACATTAAATTCAAAGGTTTAAAATTCGACAATGGGCAGCCTTTAAATACATAATCTGAAAAATATATATTTTTTTTTTAATCTTAAAGGAAAGAAGCAAAAAGTGAAGGTTAGGAAGTAATCAAAGGACACAAGTTAAGGAGAGGCAGCAAGAAGATGAGAAGGATACAAGGCAGAAGAAGGTAGAGGCAAGGATGCATTTTTTGTCTTGTCTCTAACGGTAGGGTGCATGTGTTAGAGGTATGTATGGGCATGTGTGGGTGGAGCTATAAGTGGGTGTTGGCATTTGTCTGGAGCTGAATGATTGTATAATGAATATCACCTGGATCTGCTCAGGGGCTGTTTGTTTGTTTTAATACAGAGAGAGCCTAAGGCAGGGTGCCAATATTTCTGTTGACCACAACTTTAAAGCTAATTAAGTCTGCAAGTCTAAAAATCCCTAACTGCAGTAAAGCTTTACGTTTCCTCCTTGGATTTAGCGCGTCGAACAGATCCCTGCTCTCCTCTCCGTGACTAATTTTTTTCACTAATATTAGTTCATTTTTAAATTCAAGCATTGCAGTTTTCCAGATTATTCTTTTGTCATGTATATGAAGTTAATAATCGGAATTAGAAGCAGATCATGTGGTTCTGGAATATTGTCCACATTCCTTTCAGTGAAATGTCACAGAGGGCTGTTGCTAAACAACCAAACATCAGATACACCAAGTCTGTTTCAGATTTGAAGTTTGGCAGTTTTGTTGAAATGTTGTCCAAAGCAAACCAGTCAGCATTGAGTCCCAGTCCTAAAACAGGAGGTCACCAGCAGGAACATACCAGACTACTGGGAACTTTCCATTTCATGACCTCGGCCTCTCATGCTGGAATGTTTGGATATCTTGGCTCCAAAATAACTCTGGGAGCCAAATGAATATTGACAGAACACTCTGTCTCAGTTAATAAAATGTTCGTGAGAGGAAGCTCGTAGGAGGAGGAGGGAACCCTCGGAGAACACTATGTGATCTGGCAGGCGGCCCTGTTCGAAGGGACCCTCCTCTTGTGACTCGGTCACTGTGTCCACCCAGAGCTCAGCTGTTATGCAATGTCCTGATTTCAGTGCGAATCGTCTGGAGATGCTGCTGATGGCGTAAACAAGGCGGAGAACGGGGTGCGCAGATGGTAACGAGACACAACAAGACATTTGTTTTTCCCCTCCTTCCTTCAGCATCAACGGTTTCCCTAAAGCATGACATCCCCCTTCTTTACATAACAACCATCAGCTTAAAGCGCCCCTGCTGCAACAGCACTTTCTGTGGTTTGAAGGAGACACAAATCTCCTGATTACTCATTGAGGTCGTCTCAGACAGATGTATGAAATCTAAACACTAAGTCTTCAGCGAAGACTTTCAAACATTCAGGGTGAGTGAGTCTGAATGAAAAGAAACACATTTTTTGCTGTGATCTTCCACAGACAGATATAAACTCAGGATTTATACCAGATCTGGTCCGGTTGAGGCCTCACCTTCTCTCTGGTACTGTTAGCTGTGATGGATCTCTGTGTGGCTCCTCTCAGTGCTGTTCTGTAGTTGTAGAAATTGCTTGAAGGATCCATCTGATGCTATATGGAGGTAAACAGTCAATGTTAATTATCCAGTGAAGGTTAGAGCATAGAGTGGGCAAACTTCTAATATAGATGGAAACAGTGTTTGAAAGTTTGATGTTAGTGCCCATAACATGTTAGATGTAGATCTGACTCTATGTTCAATGCAGGGCAGGATTTTATTTTATTTTTTGTACTACTTATTTAAAGGGAAAGTAACTTCTGGTGCCCAGCTGCTTTGCTAAAACTAAGTCAACGATAGTGGGTCCTAATCAAGACCTCTAATGTGAGGCCAGATCTCCTTGGTACCCATCCAACGTTAATACAATACATATGTTGGCAACATCCATGTGCTGGATCACCCGCTTCCCAGCAGTCACGGGAAAATAAGAAACCCTCCATGCTAAAATGATATATGATGGCGTAAAGTAAGCATCACTGCAGCAAGCTCTGTTAGAAAGTTCAGGATTTATCTCCACCAGTCCCTGATGAATCAAGCAGGAAGGTAAAGATGTTTTAAGGGGGAATGTGACTGAAGAATGAAAGCTGATCATCTCCATTGAGACGTAAATGAAAAAAACAACAGAGGTATTTGAAAAGCTTTCGAGCAGATTCATCGTTTATTTCTCAGATCTTTCATTTCAAATGTGCAGACTGACTGACAGCAGGTGGTTTTTTTCAGCTTTCCCTGAAGTTCCTGAGCTTTCCAAGACGTATCAGAGAGCTGAGTGATCTGCATCTGCCTTCCACATCTGGGGCATCAAATTCCCCCACCCGTGTGGGTTTTTTGTTACTGGTAACAAAAATGTAAGATGATAAAGTAGGGGATTTTAAAAAAACTTGAATTAATTGCAGTTGAAACATTTTAAAATAATACAACTGATCTTCAATTTAGGCTTCTGTTTTTCTATAACTGCCGTTGCAGTTTTGATGCATTCTGAAATGATGAGTTTTTATTAAAAACAGGAACATAACACACCTCTACAGTGAATATAACCAAAGCTTTGACTTATGTAACCAATAACCAAAGACTTTGATTCAAAAACACTGATTTAAGCTCATGTGCGCCCTTTTAGCTGTTCCGTTATTCATGGGTCAACACATTCCCCTTACTGACTCAACGACGATTTGAACCTAGTTCCTCCTTTCAAAAGACTCAAAGTTACCCCACAAAACCACAAAGAGAAAAATAAGACCTCTAAGAAAATAAGACCTCGATTCCAAATATATTTGAGAAAATGTTTTCTGCATAGATATTATGACTTTATGATATTATATTCAGAAAGTAAAAGAAAATCTGTTGGTAGCAAGTTGCTGCTTTGGCAGCTCGCCTACAGCCAATAAATGCAACAGGAGCCTTTCAGTCTGTTGAGTATCTGCTTTTCCAAAAATACAAGGGAAAAGAAGAGGCAGATTTCTTTCAGCCAGCTGATGGGAGGAGTGCATCAATTTTCTGGGTTCATTATATTTTTTTTAAAGAAAGAGTATATTATCTGCTATAATCCAATTAAGATGGAGGTTTCTAATCTTTGTTGGGTCTCTGGGGGAAAAAAAAAAATCTTCCCCGCAGGCTCACCTCTAAGATGTCAAACTTGGCTGTCTTGATTTTGCTCCAGGTTTTCTTTAGGCGGGACACTGGACTCATGTTCATCCCAGCTGCAAGATGAGAACAAATACAAAAAGAAAACACATCACAATGAGTGATAAAGAAAAATTGCACATCTAAGCCAACAGAATTCCATTAACACATGGCATTTTCCCTTCTCCACCCTTCCTCCCCTCCCCTTGCAGTCATCTTTGCACACCCCCTCCTTTTTGCCGTCTTTATGTTGTTTCCTCCAATGCAGCGGGGCCACAGGGAACAATGGAGGTTAACGCATGCCTCGTTTCCCCTCCCAGCTCTCTGCTTCCCATATGCTAATCCCTCTGTATGTTTATTTGCATTGCAGGTGTGGGCATTGCATGGTTAGACAGAGCAGGAATGACCGCTCATGTTCAGAGAACGGAAATCTAAACCACTGAACCAATCTCTCCCTGAGCTCGGATGAAAAAGACAGCTAGGGTGTTACATCTTAAAAAACTGGAGGAAAGTGGGATCTGACCATGCCTTACCTATCCACAAACAAAGCCAACAGTGACAGGTGTTCTTTGTGATAAAAACAAACCCTTCATAGGTAAACTATTCTTCTTTGCCTACTGTCCTTTTGTTTTACCCTTCCATGAAGCAGCCCCTTGATTTCACAAAATCTGCACATATGTCTACTCTATAGGTAAATTAGGAGATATCTTTTTTTAGGATAGTAGTAACCTTTTGGATGCAGCACTACAGTAAAGCATAACCCAGACTGTTCCCTTGAGATGAGGCTGTTGTAGACAATTTTGCCTTTGGCACTCTCTCCCTCTCTCAGGGGAGACGAGGAAAGGACAGCTGGCACTCCAATATTCCCTTCTTTCCTCCACCCTCATCCCTCCCCTCCATTGTGTGCTGACTCTCTATCTGGTCAGCGCTAACCATCTGCTTTTGCCAGTTTGTTCTCAGTCCTCCTGTGATTCTGCCCCTTCCCCCTTTACTCTGGACACAAAGATCCCCAACTCTACTCCAGGCCTCAGGCCAGGGAGAGCAGCCAGATTTACTTCATTGGTGCAGCTTGGATGTTGGATCCCCCAGGGTAGTCAACGCATTGCCTGAGGAGATTCTAGACTAAGTGCTCTCAGACCACAGGAACCTTCAAAAGAGCTCCACAACAACATTTATACTGAGTCTTTTTCAGATCTGACAGGGAACCTTTTGGTAACTGGTTTAAGCTTTATAGATCTAAAATAAAACAAAATGTAATCAGTAACAGCTCCAAAGATTTGCCTGCATGAAAAGTTCTGGGAATGATTGCTTAAAACAGCCAAAGTGATTTTGACTGAGAGGAAAGAAAAAGAGGACCAAACACTCACAAATGATAGCCATGAGGGAGTTAAAGTTGCCGATGTTGTAGCACTCCCGCGCCACGTCGATGAAGAACTCCATGACTCGGGCTCGGTGCTTCTTTTTCACAGGCTGATTTAAAAACAAGGAACAGGATTATAATGGGAAATTTAAATCAAATTCAACTGCTTAGTTTGGTAATTTCCAATAAATATGTTTCCAAATGATTAATCTAAGCCTTTTAGAAACCAGCTTTGACAAAAAAAGGTTAGGTAAATGAAACCCCAAATTAAAGTACATATAGTTTAGTCATTTTTTTCAGAGAAACATTTCTGCCTAATATGCTAACAGTTAAACCAGGAATATGCAAGGATAACTAAAAAATAACAAAAGCTTCTAAAATGTTTTTATGTTTAATATCTAACAAAATAAACTCTTGTTACTCACCAAACAAATCTCTGTGGCCACCAGATAACTGAGTCTGTTGAACCAGTCGACGTAGGCCTCCAGGTTGCTAGCCTTCTTGCGATCACTGAAGCAGCTCTGCAACAACAATAACAGGTTTTCAATTAACAAGGCTGGTAACTGCAATGCCAAAATTGTCCAGATAGAAGTAGAGCTTATATTTGCATTTCACTCTTCCTCCCAGTCCATGCATCACTGAGCACACTAAATAAGCTCCAATCATCCTCAACTTCAACATGCCTTTGTCAGGACAATGGTCGTCCAAAGCGGCATTTACTTTCTTTGTGTGGATTCCTATTGATCTAATACCACACATTCCTTTGGCCTTACGCCACTCTCCCCCATGTAGTCTCTCTTGCCACCAGGCACATTTTTATATGCAACACACACACATGCATGGATGCTGTCATTTCTGTTTTTGAAGGGGCTTGTTTGGGGTATGAGACAGAGTGGCCAGAGGCACAATGGCAGCTCTAACCCCCTCTGCTTCCAAAAAAGGGTCTGTTGCCTAGCAGCCGAATGCCAGACAAGAGAGCCGCCACCCAAAACACACACCCCTTCCCAATATAAAACCCTTTTGCCACAGCGGTTGCTAAGAGATGAAATGCACATCTAATTCAGACACTTGGATGATTTGGATAAATAGTCAGTTAGGTGCGTCCGAGTGTGCGTGTGATTCTGCAGTGGATATTGGGTGCTGCTACAGTCTGGCAATCACCTGCCCTCACTCTGACCTGCACAGCAGACAGGAACCTTGTTGAGTAAACTTAACATCCGTCTGCAGACAGAGGCAGACCATTCCAACCCATAATAAAAAGAAAGATCCAAACTGCTACTAGGCATGCAGACAGGGAATGAAGATTGTGTAATCACTGTGTATTCTTTCTTATCTACTGGATTATTTTTAGAAAAGCAGGAAGGTGTTACCTTGTCATTTTCCAGAGGGTCTTTATGGACAAACGCCTGAACAAATTCCTCAGGTCCAATGTAGCTCAGTCTCTCCTAAAAGCAGAAATAGAAATATTACATCCTCCATTCTTTAGCTACAATGTCCCCTAGACTTTTAAAACTCTCATTTTTACCTAATAAATCCTGAATTGTGGAGGTCTGATTTGTTAACTGATACATCTCTGGTTAAACACCATTGTTAAAAATCTGTGCTCTAGCAACAAAAGCAGAACACTGATTTCTAACCGACGATACATCACAGTTCTACTTCCCTTTAATATGGTCAATATATCTGGCACTGCTCAGGTCTTGAGCTATCACTGGATTTAAGAGCTATCAGGGTTCCCGAATGTCCCTCTGAGGGATATTGATACATTTTTGTTTGACATGACAACTAAAAGTCATGGGACTCATGTTGTGTAAGAGAATAAAAAGGACCATTGGAACAAACATATCTAAGGAAGTTGATGTGGTTGACATCATGTCCTTGACATAGAGCCAACAGATCTAGATCCAAAGTAAACCCATAGAAAATGTGTGCGTACCAGCTCTATGTGTGTGAGCTGCTGGGCAACAGTAAAGGGGTCGTTGCAAATGGAGAGCAAGTCTCTTTGGACCGCTGCCTGCGATTTCGCCTTCAGAGCTGTTAGTCGCTCGGCCGCTGTGCCGTTGATCTTGACCAGTGCCTCCTCATACTGGCTGAGTACCGTCAACCTCCTGATCAGACCCTGGCTCATCTGGCCCACTGCCTTCTTGTACACCTGGTGGATAAAAGAGAAAGAAAATTAACGAGTGCTTGGTATCGGACATAGAAAATATGTCTGATTTCTTAAATAGGTCTGTTGTCTTTTGTTCGCAACGCAACAAGACATCAATTAAATAAATCAAGACATCAGTCTAGTAAATCAACATCCATTTACTAGACACTCTAAGTTTAAGAGGGGAAGAGCTTTTGGCTCAGTAGCAGCAGGGGTTGAGAGGTCAGCCTGTACGGAACATTTCCTTTGACTTAAAACAGACCACAGTTAGATCAATGTTTCCTTACAGTCAAAGCTCAGCCAACAAATTGCATAAGTTGTCCTTAGAGAGGAGAAATACACATGTGTTTAATTGTGTATAGATGGAGGTCTTTAACGTCCGGGGTTTAGAGTGTTGGAGTTTATTTATCCTTACTGGACTTTCTGCCAGTCAAGCCTTTAGAATCTGGGTTCTAACAGATCTGGAGGTGGAGGCAGTGAAGAACAGCCAGGATTCATATTCAAGTTAACTTAAAACTATTTTTTTTTTTTTTCGTGAACTGATGACAGTAAAGAAATCTTTTCTATCTGGCTTCTATATAAAAAAAAAAAAGCTTTGTAAAAGAAACGGTCCACTGCACACTTGGACAACAGTGAAGCATGCCACAAGTGAAAAACACTCCAGTGGCCACTTCAAAGTCAACCATCTGCTGTTGCTTCTGTCCCCAATCCAAACAGAGGACACGCTGGGTTTGGATAAATTTAGCTGCAGATCTCAGAGGCAACATGTTCTGCTTTTGCTGAAGAGAGGGAGTCCTTTGGTTTTACGATCGAGGGAGCATAGCAGGAGTTTGTTGTTTACCCCCCGCCCCCCCACCCCCCGATCGAGCCCTGGCAGCAATAGGAAGGGGGCAGAAGGCTGATCTGTGCCAGCCTTCATTACTGAGGGCATGTTTGTTTTGTTTTTTTATTGCATTTGGTAATCTTGGTTGAGTGGCATCATTTTCTTTAAGTATGTGTGAAACTTTTTTATCCTGGTTAAAGGGTAAACTTAGCATCACTGGGTACTTAATGCGATCTGAGCTGATTTCTTACTATTCTATGACCAATTTGGGAGTTTACTGAGCCTTATAGACATGCTTATCTGTACTAAATTAAAAATGCTCAAATTACCAACAATATGGGGTTGAACATCAACTATTTCGGACTATTTTACTATTTCAGACCTCATTTGAGTGATATACTTATAATGATATGCAAATTCGGAAAATCTAAAACTGATCATCATTGTTCCCCTATTAATTTACACATAAAACACAAAATAAAATAAAGAAAAAATAAAGATCCCAGAACTTGATTCCCTTCTCAGCTGCAGGTTCCTAATATATCCGACCAAATCCATAATGACAGTCTCACTAGTGATCAAGGTCCTGGTGTGTTCTCAGTGTGGTTTGGACACAGCTTTCTGCAGATGTTCAGAGCATCTATTCCAGACTCTGGTCTGTTTTCCCAGAGCTGTGGCTCAACAGAATCAGCTTGTTACTCTGCACAGCAGATCTGCTTGTGGTACCACACGTGTGCCTTGTTTTCCAAAGATGCGGTTAAAGACTCTGAAATGAAGATACGGCATTAGACCCACCTCTGTGAGAGAAAAGCTTCCATTTACTGTTTCCAAGAAATACCCTGAGGGCATCTTTACCAGCTGATTAACTAAGTCACGTTTTAATCTCTCCAACAGTTCATCACCTACAGATACGTGAACAAACAGTCACAAACTTTAGCTGAGGCGGTTTGTGTACCACCGGATTTCCCTGAAAACAAGCCTGTCCAAACGATGTTCTTGGTCACGCTGAGCAACTAGGAAGCCATGTGTTTGCATGATGCCTCCAGTGTTGACATCTTGTATATTTAGTGTTTATGTGTTCCTTTCTTTTTATTCAGACATCTACAGCCTTAGATGCTGCTAAGCAAACGTCCTTAGAACTTAACGCGTCCACAATCATTTTAGAAAATATTTTATTTTGCCAATTTGATTCAAAGCATTACCACAAAATGCCCCATGTCTTGTTTCACCCAGTTTAGAAATGACCATGAATGGAAATACTGGCAGAGCAGAGCTTCTCTGTTATCTAACAGCCTCTCTTTCCTTTCTTTGCCACCGAGCATGAAATCAGCTCATGGGAAAGTACCATGGAAACTCGCTGAAAATTGCCCTCTGTTTTTTTAAGCGCAGTAACAGAAAGCTTAATGCCAGCTTCCGTTAATATGAGATGAAAATCAATATATGTCTGCAGTAAATAAAAGTGAAACTGTGCCTGTCAGCGTGACGGTACAAGAGCACACATGTTCCAGTTAGCCAGGTTATTTCCAGGTGCAAGCTGGGGATGTCTCAGCTGGGAATGCATTGATCTTTTGATAAAGGTTTGACTTCAGCCTTTATTAGTAATGTCATTGAGGTCTGTCCTTATAGGTAAGGGTTTGCACGTTTGGATTATCTGCTCTCAAGTGGATAAGCCTTCTGTAAGGCGATGCACATCTTTAATAAGTCAAAGTTAAAAACCCAGAACTGCAGAGAAGGAGACGTAAAAAATAACTAGAAATGGTACTGTCAAAGCTCCATTGCTGAAATGAGGAGGACAAGGGGAAAATGATTACTTGACAAGATACTGGTTCAAGTGGCACCAGATTGACAGCAGATGCAGGATCCTTAAAGCTGAAACCACTGAGGGTTCCCACTAAAAGAAAAAAAATTAATAAAACTCTTCGAACAAAGAAAAATCTAAGTAAACTAATCAAAATACAATTTAAATTTAAAACCAGAAGCAAAACCTTATCTTTTATCCTTTCCACCAGCAACCTCTGCTAAATACCTGCTTTCTTATTGGCTGAAACAGGTCCCTATTCTAAATAATATACACCCATAGTGAGAAATGTGAAATGCTTGGGTTCAGTTTGCAAATGCCCCCCAAAAAATCTAATTATTTTGTTGTAAGCAGTCAAATTTATAAACTCCTTTGCAAATAATTCCTCTTTTGAACTAGAAAACTGTAACTAAATTAAAAAGAAGATTTCGTCATTATATTTTACCTGCCTGCTCATCTACATTAGTTCAATTCATCACCCTATCTTCATCTCAGCAAGATCTTCAGTCACAAACTATAGTGTGCCATGAGGAAATGTAAAGGAACTGAATCTTTACTAGGCTGGCTTTCTACATGTATTTAAGTCACACATTTTCCAAACTCCCCTTAAATCAGATAAATTACAACGGAAGAGGCACAGCTTGCCAACAGCTTTTGCACTTCTAACTGTTAAAATTACAGTCAGAGTAAATGTTGCACTTCATAAGATCATTCAGAGGGGTTTTGTTTTCTTTTCAGAGATCATAAACTGAGTAAAGCCCTCTTTGAAGGAGCCTTTTGATTCAGTTGACAAACTGCACCTTGTTTTCCTCATAAAATGTGATACGAATCTCTTACCTGAAAACCAAATCAGGATTTTTATCTGAACAGTGAAAGACTAAGACCTTATCTTACAGTACACACAGTTACTTTGATTTTGAGCTTCTGGTGCTAATTTAAGCCTATGCTTGCATTTCCATTCAAGGCAGATAAAGCATAAGCTGTTGCCTATAAACACAATTTATCTGCATGTAAATGACTGAAAGTGAAAGGTCATCAACTTGACCCAAAGATAACAGAGGATACGGACAAATACAGATCAGCTCTACCTTTATTCATGCAGCACAGCCGAGGCTCACTGTGCACTAAACCAGGACGAGTCAGCTCTTCTGCAGCTGAACAGGAGCGGAGCAGTCATAGAGAAGGCAAAGCCCACCTAGCTGATAAACAATAAGGCTTTTCTCTGCACACAGCCAGCATCAAAACCTGCTTTGTTGCCACTGATGGCCTGCTTTGCTTCCCACCGCTACTATATCTACAAAAGATCTACAGTGCCTGAAGCTTTGCTGGACAAGAACAGTTTTAATGAACGATATTATCCAAAAAACTGGGTTTTGCTGGTAGAAAATTAGGCAAATTTAAGGGAAGGGTACTGACCTCATCTCCGCTGGCAAGTCGGTGGGTCAGCTCCTTCAAGCTGCGCATCATTCGCTCATCCCTGAAGTCATATGGAAAAGTTTCTGTCCACTCTGTCAGCAACTGGAGAATCTTTGGAGTGATCTTTCTGAGCCTTAGCTGGAAATACAGAACAAACGGACAATGAATGAACACCAAATCAGCCAGTTGGAGTCGAGATTTAGTTTGGTAAATGTACAAATCCAACATACCTTATCTGCTTGAGGATCACTTAGTCTCTGCTGCTCGAAGCACAGGTGGTACACTTTGGACATGAGTTCATACGGGTGGATGAAGAGGCGAGAGCTGAGCAGGAAGGTGAAGATATACGTCCTCTGCAGAGGAAAGACAATGTAGAGAATATTCATAATCACGTATAAGACACCCGGTATGACAACAAAAACTTTTATGCAGCAAGAAAAACAGAGAAAATGAAAGTAGCTTTCATTAGCTAAACAGCATCTCATTACAGCAGCAATAAAAGAAAGTAAAAGCTTCTACTTTTTAACTTGAATCTAAAAGACTTTAAAACAACTAAAGCAGAACATGAGCACTCACGTCAGGATAATAGTCCACAGTTGGCACCAGGTGGTGAATGAGGGCCTCCAGGGAGCCGGACACCAGGTTGCTGCCATGATAATAGAGGCCGGGGTAGCCTTGCTCCTTGGTCTCGTACAAATTGTTGTTGTAGCCACCAGTGTTCAGCTGCCCCTTGAAAGGTGGTGTCTGCGGCATGTTGTCCTGTGGAGACAAAGAGACCAAACATCAGAACAAATGCTCCACTGCCTTTCCTGGCATAACCGCAGAGCAGCCAAGCAAACCAAAAATAACTCTAGACTGCATAAGGTTTGTTTAAGAAAACGGAGTAGCACATGTTCCCTAAACAAAACGTTTCCTCCCATGCATATTTTGGGCTTCGGTTTAGTCTAAATGGATAAACAGATGATATGCTAAAGAGATGAAATAAGAAAATGAGATATTTAAGAAGCACAGATCTATCTTGGTTTAAATCAGAGTTAACCCTGCTGTTGAAACCGGCTCAAACATTCTAAAGATGTTAAGTATTGAGGTTTTGGGTGGCTGAACTAATAACACTAGCTCCTATTAGGTTTGATGAAGCCTGAAATAACAGAAAAATGGCTCAACTCAGACTAGAGACTGAGAGTCATAAAAAAATGGTTAAGGAGATGATCCGAGCCACCAGAACAACTTTTTCTGGTCTCTTTGTGACTTATAACTGAGAGAAATGTATACAGTGCTCACTTGTGCCATGATCCAACTACTGAAAAAACAATTTCCCAAACCTAAGCTGTCTAGTGGATAAACAGGAACTCTTAACCCTGGAGGTAAGCTTTCTGTTTAAGCCCAACCTTGATCCGCAAAGTTGAAATATAGCTCTGCGATATTTCCTACCTGCAAACAGGACAATGTAACAGCTAACTATTAAACCATAAATGAAGCTCCATTAAAACACTGGAAAGCATACAGGCATCACGTTGACAGTGCAGCGAGATGTGTGGGAGCTCATGAGAGATTCTGGGCCAATCTGCAGCCCTGCAGGAGGTCTTGACTGTTGTTTCACCCTGAAATCATTGCGGTGTGATCACGCTGTCTGCTCAGTTCCTCTGCGGTCATGTGTGGTGTATGTGTACGTGACTCACAGCGAGGAGGAGTATTTGTGTGTGACTGTGGGTGGGTGGGTGAGTAGGTGGCTGTGTTACCAAAGGAGGCAGAGAAAATTGAAAAGCTACTGGAGCAAAACAAGGGTGTGCTTTCAGATTTAAAATCCTTGTGTTTTCCAGGCAATCACAATTTTGGTGCTACCTGTGAAAGCACAGGACTTACGAGGAAATGATGATGATGCTAAGGGATGTGTTTAAAATGAAAAGATGCTTGGTAATAATAGGTACACCTGCTAGTTTGGATAAAGCCATTTGAAGAACGTTTCAGCAGTTCTCTGGACTATTGTTAACAGATTGATTATGTTAAGGTGCTTTGTAGCAGACAATATTAGAGTTCTGGAGTCACCCTTTAATACCCAATCTGTTTGGAGAAAAGGGTCTTCCCAGCTGGGAGGATTTACATTTCATTCTGTCTTTAGGTGCATAATGTTGAACATCCATGTGGAAGAAGAGAAGATCTTTATTTTTAAATCTTAGAGCAAGGCCCTCTGCCACAGGTTTGAAATTAATAGATACATTGATTAGAGGAGTTCTTGGGGTTTTGTCTGTGTGGAAAAATCCAAAGATGTATCTATTGATACCAACACAGACCCAGTTTTTAGTAGTCAAGAGCGAGCTCACAAACAAACAAAGCTTTCAATTCAGCGGTCGATTAAGATTCAGATCTTCATTATTGGTCACGTTGGAAATTCAAGAGACTGAAATGTGTTTTTCCTGAGTTGCAGTTGAACCATAAGGAGTTTGCCTTTTGTGAAGGGGCTCAGAGTAGAATCTCTGCTCATCTACATGGAAAGGGTCACGGTGGATTGGTTGAAATGAGTTTGGCTACTGAGCTCAGAAGATGGGTGGATTGATAGATAGAGCTTGATCCAAGACCAAATTTGGAACAGTTGCAATGACTTAATACACACACCTTATGTGAAGCCTTTTGAGATTATGTCTTATTACCCTTTCTTTCCACAACAATCCGTCCAACAATCTCAACCCGGTACACCCTGACAAACCCACCCTTTCTTGACAATATGCCGCCCTGTGGCTGCCCGCCAAGTGTAAAAGCCTTTACAGCTGACACACTGCAGAGCTGCCAGGGATTGATTCAAGGATGCCAAGAGGAATAAAAACTGAAGCAGCCCACACACTGAGACAAGTAGTTCAAATAAATTCAGGGGGTTATTGTGCAGCCAAGCAGAAAAGGGTTAGCAAAACCTGGAGAAAAAGCCTGCTAAACATCAGCTCATCAAATCAGTTTCAGCTAATTCTCTTGAACAGGTAGATACCAGAACCTTCCTCCTTTATTCACTTTTTAACCTCACATAAAACATCTTTAATACTCTTCCTTATTCACACACATGCCGCTCTATTGTGCACATGTGCACAAACAGACCAGCGCCATTATTCAAGCAGACAACCGTGGCCATTTCCATGAGAATGGCGGGTGTTGAGGAGTCATAGCGCAGCGGCCTCGGCATCTGCCGCACCATGTGGCATCCCCTCAGAGACGAGGAGATCACGAGCCAGAAGGGTGGAAGAGGAGGGATATTCACACACAGAGTCAACAGTTGTGCGAACTTTGTTTACTCCCGGGAGGCCTTTGCTGACAATAACTTACATGTAGGGACACTTTTGCACTGAGCGGCAGCCAAGCATGATCACAGATGCCCAGGGCACACAAAGAAGACATGTAAAGAGAAAAGCATCAGTGGCAGGTGATTGAGCGCTGAGAACGTCACTATTTCTCTTTTCCCAGCTGCAATCTAAACACTAAGGTCCTTTGAAACACTGCAGGTGAGGAAACTGTTCATCACTCCCACTGACTGTTTAACTGCTTAATATATGGCAGTGTTTGCAGTATTGACTTTTCTCTGCTACGAACACCACTGATGGTAACTTTGCCCATCTTTAGGAGAGGATCTCCATTCCTGCTACCAACGAGCAGCAACCTTACTCACGAAGAAAAAAACATGGATGCTCCATGCAGAGACAGCTGAGGCCCTGTGATTTACACATGGCTTCCAGGTGCCGGCCCAGGCATAGCGTTGAGGGACCACATGTTGAGTCCTCAGTGCAGACAAAAACAAACTCAACGCTTCACTGTTGGTTCAGAGAAGCTGCGGCTGGGTGGTAGCTTAAGATAAACAAACACAACGCCACTAAAACAAGAGATGGTGTAAATCATTTAATTATCATTAGCCATCTGCCACAGACTGTTGAGGAAATTTGAAATGGATATAAAAACAGAAGTAATCCTACTTACTGAAATAGTTTAATTGCATAGTTCATATCAGGTTACCACGCATGTGCTTAATACATTGATGGTTTTCTAACATTTGCAGGGGAATTTATAGGAAAAAGGCTAAAATTTTAAATGTCTAAAATCAGACTTTTTTGTGATAAAATAATGTGACATTACCTGCAAAACTTTGTCTTTTTGGATGTGTTCAATTCCAAAGCCAAAGGGCTGTTTAGCAGTTAAAGCTCTAAGGTAATTTTGCCTCTGAAAATATGGGCAGGGCTGCACCCTGGAGGGACAATAACGGGAGTCTGGTGTCTAACTTGAGCCACAATAACAAGGTATCGTACAACCAGGTCAGGGTGCCTCATGTTCTGCCCCACCCCTGTTGTTAACAAACTCTTGTCATAAAAAATGCATCACCACTTCAGAGGCCTTTAAGACAACTCATGAGCAGATCGTTACCTTACCTTTAATAAGAAAAAGACTAAATCTTAGTTAAAAGTCTTATTTTTTCCTCTACAAAGCTGGATCCCATTACAGAGTAAAGGGGTCACAGCAGAAAACCTTGGTGAAAGAGGGAATCCTGAAGGGAAAATGATCAGAAACCTCCACTAAAAATAGATCCCTGGAGTTTGGCATTAGGAGAATGTGTTGGAGACACTTTGAGGGATCGTCTGTACATCAGCAACCCCCTCCCCACTCCACTGTGTAAACACTGACAGGCATGAGGAATCTCACTCATCTGTGGCCTGAGGAAATGAGGGAAAGATAGTGGAGGAAGCCACAGGGGAATAGCATCAACTCTGAAGGCGGCCTGAGGTCAGACTTACTTTAACCTACTTAATACGACCCAAAACACAAAATCTAACCATGAAACATCAAAAAGGCTGTCATTTAGTAACAAACGACTCTCTTCCTCCTTGTATGACATGAGCCATCCAGATGACTGCAACACAACAGTCTGTGAAGTTCAGCTGCTGATAGCTCATCCACCGTTTCCCCTCCTAATTTACACTAGTGATGGGTGCTGTAAGAGCAATAGGTTTTTTAAGTGTGGAGGAAATGTTTGCAGCTGATGCAACAAGCAAGAAAAATAGCAGCTTCCTTATAGCAATCTGTCACCTGGTATCATCAGTCCTCAGTAGGCTCATTAATCCCCCAGAAAACACAGAGAGACGCTGCTTCCACAGATTTAACCAGAACGGGCTGGGATTCTAATCTAGAGACGTCAAACATCAGAAATGTTTGGGTTTTTGGGGGGAGAATGAAATAACATTCAGAAACATAAGAAATGCAAAAGTTATGACACATTGTACGGATAGGAACCCCTTTTTGGTCTTTAGGAAACAAATTAATTGCTCATTTTTGTCTTTAGCCTAAACATAATTTTTTTTTAGCATCCGTTTTGAACAGCTTAATATTTTCTTGGATCTTAACCCTGATGACAAACATAAATCAATTTTTCTTAAGTAAAAGAGTAAATGTTATTGAAAGAGGAATTAATCTTTATGAACAACGTCATGTTTTATTTTCATGAGTCAAGGCAAATCTTATCTAAGAAAGGGAGCAAAATGCTTCTCAGGATTGCAAAAAGTCAGTCCCAAATTGGACCAATGCCTCATAACACACTGAAATCTTCTGCAAACATGTACAAGCTGGATCTCTTGGCTGAGTTCAGTGTGAAAAATGCTAAAACTTCTCATTTTGAGGCTATTACAAGCTTTTTAAGAAGATACCAGCGAAACCACACGTTTTCCCCAGCTGTACCATAATGTAGCACAGTGCTGCCCCCCCTCCACTTGTTGCTAAGCATTGGTGACAACTGGCTAGAAAAAGGTGACCCCCCATCCCCACCCCCACCCCACCCTGGCTTACAGGACACATAAATCTTGGCACTTGGGAAGATTTTTGTTTGCAAAAACTGAAAAAATATGGAGTAGAAACTATTAGAATCTGACCCATCTTCTTATACACTGGGGAAGCTAAAACCAGCAGGTAGGCTGGCTTTCTTTATTTTCTGTATTGAACAAAAACAAATAATATGAAATTTTATGCAATTCAACAAATTAATTGGTTGTAACTGTTTCATGGTTTTATAAGTTAAAAATTTTGTGAAAACCAGCAAACAGGACAAACAAGGACAAGAACTATATCAGATTCAAACAACATAGGAAACTATGTTGCCAAGCAAAACAATGACCCATTCAGGTGGTCCCAAAGCATTTGCACATATTCAGCCGATCAGAGTCCAACCAAATTACCAGTAAACGGATTAAACTTGTCAGCACATAGAGGGAAACCCCAATCCAGGCTCCTAATGCCGAGAAGCTCCACGGAAAGCCAAGGAGCACAAGGCAAAGGTACTGGAGAGGGATGCGGGATTAAGCCCACTGATCCCTCCACCTCTGCGGGGGATCATCAGGGAAGAGGGAATCCTCTTAACCACAAGGTAGAGAGGTTAAAATAAAGAGAAACTGACACGGATTTCAAACATTCATTTTTTTAAAAAACATTGAAAGTATTTAGAGAAGAGGATCATTTTGTGTAAATGTTAGGTTTAAACAGCTGAATGATTCTTCTAAATTTAAAAGTCAAACTGATGATTAAAGAGGTGCAATGTATAAAGAAAAGAAGCCCTAAAACATGAGTTCATTAAAAAAAAGAAAATTGCCTCAGGCGGATTAGGGTCTGGATATGGAGTGCGCTCCATCCAGCACCTGCGCGCACTTGGACGCGCTCCAAAACCAAACAACCACACTTAAACAACATTTATTCTCATTTTATATACACAGAGTGCATGCAAAACGAAATGTATTTATTTTGCACTGCAATAACCAGAACCAAACATTACAGCCAAGACATATAAAAAATAAAAACAATCTCACCTTAGCAAGCAGGAGCCGAGTAGATCTGAGCTTTTCTCTCTCCAGAAGTGACCAAAACAAATAGCCTTCAATTAACACTTTCACATATGAATAAACACGTTCAGTGCGCTCCTCTGTCTCAATGCAGCATCTTTCAGCTGTCAGTGCAGAAAATCAAATAAACTGGAATATTCCGGGTTTAAATCTGGTTTAAGGAGAGCTGAAAGTAATCCAGAAGCATCAAATAATAAAATCTCCGTCAGTTGCGCTTGTCAGCTGCCTTTTCTAACATCTGAGCTGGAGAAACAGCGCTCAGCCTCAAGACTTTAGTGTCACACATAGAGAAAGAGAGAGAGAGGCAGCCAATCAGAGAGCAGGACACTCCCCTCTCAAACTCCCCCATCCCACGCCTTCTCTGCCTCTTTCATTTCCCTCTCCCTTTCTCCATCACCCACACTGACGTTTTCTGCCTCCCTCTGAAGTTCCACTTCTTTATCCTTTCACTTTTATTTACAGGAACTTTTTAAGAGAGAGAAAAACATCCAGCCTCTGACCTGACAGGAACTTTACGGAGGGGAATTTTATAAAGCAACAATAAAACTAGTCATAATCTGCCCATGTGGTTCCCTGTTTGCTTTGTCAGGCTTCCAAATCTACTTTTGATGATGTCCTAAAAATTACAAATCGTTTTCCCCCAGGTGATTTTAATTTTGAAACCAATTACCAAAAATAATGACTTGGCT